AGGTGGGGCCTGCACGTCCGCCCATTTCCACGTTGATATACACAATTTTTGGCGCAGGTGTGCAAATAATGCTGGAGAAGGGGCCAAGACAGAGATAAACTGAAGAATAGGGCGGTACGATGGGCAGGACTCTTAGGAATGACGTGACCGGTTTCCTGCCACGTGGTCTTCTATTCTGAGCCTTCCCACATCACACTGAATGACTAACTCAAAGGATTGGCAGCGCTCCACTTTGGAGGCGACAAACAAACTGAGCCTGTGAACAAAAATATCTGGCCCAAACCTCCGCCTCACCCACATGACACCGTCGCAGAGAAAGGAATCAAAAATTAAAATCCACCAAAGCTATATGAGTAGAGCAGTTGGATGCCAAGGACGCCCTGTTTAAATACTGTTGTCGTAGTAGGGGAGACGTTGAACACCGCGGGTGCTCGCCTAGGGTTATTCCCGCCCATGATAAATTTCGGTGGAATAGCTGGCCGAACCACTCTTCACTCGAACCAGCTATTTCAACACATCAGAATGACCCTTGACAACAGAACAATTTAAAGAAAACCGCAGATCAACGAGCATTTTAAACCACTGATGTGGATCCGGAGATGAAATCCTGGATGGTACGCCGTCCCACTGCTCCTGGGGTCAAATCCTGGGTTGTAAGCCAGCCCAGCCCACCGAGCCTTCCGTCCCTTTGAGGCCAGTTGATCTGTATAACACTTGCCTTCAAGGAAGGATACATTGAATTGTATTGGGTTCAGCATAATATCGTAGCGCTCGCATTCGGCAAAAACGTTCAAAGCAAAACCCAAAAGCAAAGCCAAGCATAAACTAATCAGTGATGTTCTTCGTCATTATTTACGACTTTGATTCCATTTCGCAAGAAATTACCGGATTCAGAATTTAAAAAAGGGCCCGTTTTCAGAGTCCTCATTATTCTCAATTTGTACGACGTGAATATGATTTGAAATTGAGGGGTCAACTCGAGTTCGATAAAGACAATGAATTTTGGAAAACTCCCTTTGGGAACTTTTTTCTTCATATATCTTCCCGCCCCGTTGATTTTCCAACTTCTAAGCACCCCTCATTTACACGTAAGCCCAAGACGAGCCTCAGCCCAAGAGCAACCGTAGGCTTCAATGATCGTGCACTTCTGGTGACCTGATTCAGGAAGGAGAAGCGAACATATCCCCCTACACGTCATTATGTAGGTCAAACCGCGTTCCGAATTACTCAGTAATTCCGAATGGAAACTGGATGCATGGCTCACCCCAAAAGCAGTGATCAGTACCGAATACTGTATCCCTTCTCACCAGTTCTTCAACTTCTCAATAGAATGGTTAATATTTTATCTGCTACTTTCTTTGTTTTTCATGTGCCTGACATTGACCTATAAAAGAAATGGCCACGGAAATGGCCACTGGGAGGAAGTGGCCACGAGTGCCGATATTTGAACATTTATACTCCGATATGCCGGGCCTAGCATAATGCATTCCGCACCCAAAACCCTTTGAGCCCTCTCCATGGTCCTGAGTTCTGCATAACTAACGCTCCGCTCACAATACCTTATCGAGCCCTCTGAATGATCCTGGCGTCAGCATAACCAAGTGGAGACATCTATTTTTAGCACAGGACCCTGGTAATTCGTCACTGTTTTCATTACCAGCGAAATTCTACAGCCCGTCAACATTGTTGTTATTCGTTTGCTATACAATTGCTGTGACAAAGAGAATTGGGTTTCAAAGCCAGCAATCGCTTCTGGTGGTTTTCTTGTGTCAAGTAGCTTTTCAGCGAGGGTGGAAGATTTGTCAATACCTCTGGGTGGTAAAGAGGGGGCTGCTTCGCTCCCGTTGTGGTGGACTGGGGTTTTTTATTTCCCTCGGTCGGAATATATTTTCCTCTCTAGTCTTGCCAGAAATACAAGGGAGAAGGAGGTGTTTGACGAAGTAAAGGACAACTTCCGAGCCTTGTTCATCTTGAAGCCCTGGAGGAAGACGATCTGGACAAAATGGCAGTAAACCTCGCTTCTAAGAACTTCGTTGGTACCTTAAAGGGACTAGTGCCAGAGTGAAAAGCGAATTAACAGGCTGCATGGTTTCTTTACGCTTTTCTTAGGGTCCTTCTTTCCGTTTTTTCTCATCTATCTTTTTTTTGTTAAGAAGGTAAAAGTTGAAGATCGCTGAGCTCAGCAGCCTCCTATAAACATGCTCATTGATCCCGTTATCGCCTGGAATCAGAGGGTAGGTTTTGTTATGTGTTCCCTGTGAAGGAGCAGAAGCGCGCTCCGTGATCACGATGCCTAGAGAACTGTGGTCTCCGACGGGCGCGTAAACAACCGAGCGCAGTATATAAGCG